GGGTGGAGGTGGGGTGAGGGGGTTGGGTGCAGGTGGGCAAGGGGGAGAGCGAGGGGTGCAGCTGTGGGGCCGGGTGGGATGCTTGGCGGCAAGATGTTTCCTGGGGGTTCGCAGGGGCAGCACGAGCGGCACACGCACGCTTGGGAACGGCCATCATTCGCCTGAACATTGTGGAAGGTGCCCATGCCGCTCCCTGCTGCCGCATCCCGGAGTGCGCTGCATCCTGCAGCAGCACAGCCTGCAATGTGCGTCCCTCCTGAGATTCTCTGCGTGGGCTGTCAGACCACAGGCCCAGTGGGCGCCGCTCACCCCAGTCGGGCTTGACGGTCAGCGTGGTCAGCAGCTCCAGCCGCGGCAGACCCAGCAGCTTGGGAAGCAACGGGTCCTCCCCCCACGCCACACTGACCTCCAACGTCTGCAACGCCCCGCCGCCGCCTGCCAGCAGCATCAGAGGGTCATTCGCGGCAGCGCGGATGGACTCGAGCGCCGCCATGAAGCGCGCCGCGCCCGCGAGCGCGCGCAGCGCCGCATAGGGGGAGAGGTCGTCGGCGTCGGCGGGGGCGGGGTCATGGATGTCGCCCCATGCCAGGCTGCGCAGCGCCGTCAGCTGCGAGAGGGCCGCCTCCACCTCAGCCGCGTCGCCCTCGGCGCACGCCAGCGCCGCTACGGCGAGGGCGGTCACCCAAGAAGCGACAGGCGGGAGCGCGCGCGCCAGGCGCGCGAGGCCGTCGCGGCCGGTGTAGTGGATTCCGACGGACTCGAGCCGCCCGCAGACGCGCGGCAGCTGCTCGGTCAGGCGACGGGAGATTTAAGACCCCTCCAGCCGCACGCGCCGCACGGCCGCCCACGCGCCGCGCGGCAGCTGCGACAGGCGCGTGCCAAGGTGCAGCAGATGCTCTGCAGAGTCGACGCCGAGAAATACTACGCACTCTGCAGCGGGGAAGCGCGCTGACAGCTGCGCCGCAGAGGCCAGCGGCAGGCCGCGCGTGCCGCCACATGCACCGGCGAAGCGGACTTGCCGCTGCAGCAACGCGTCTGTTGCGCGCAGGTGCTGGCATGTCAGGCGCAGAGCAGCATGGGCTGCGGGTGAGGCCAGAGCGCTGCACATAGCTAAAAGTGCGGACTTAGGCAGGTCCACGAGCGACACGGGCGGGGTTTCGGGGGCTGTCATGTCAGCTGAGATCAAGATCACGTTTCAAATTCAACAGAGATCACGACAACGTTTGAAATTCTTGTGTATTGTAGGAACGTCGAGGACTGCTGTCGTGCATCAGCGAGGCATTCTTGTGCATTACTTGAACCTCATTGAGCTGCCATACATTTGCACTCTGGCACACGGCCTCGGCACTGCAAAGTGCCGCGCCACCATCAGGGTCCCATCAGGCTCCTATCCTCCTACTGTACCACATACGGAACTTGACCTCCTCAACTTCACTGTAGCATAGAGAACATCGACCATTGGCACTCTATCATCAGGCGGCAAGCTGCTGATGTTGTCACTTTGCATACTTCCCTGCACCCGCACACGAGAAACTGCCAGGTCACGCCCGAGCGCCGCTGAGCCACCCAGCCTCTACACTGTGCGCCCTACGGCAGATTGCTTTCCACAGCCATGTGTGTCCCCTCACCGCCTCCCCTGATGCTGGGCCGTTTCGCCCCAGCCAGCTATCCCTCGGTTGTTTGTGATGTCCCCCCCCCCCATGAGTGATCACCCCAATTCATGCAACATCATTGCGCTGTGATTGGGTGCATTTCTGCACCAGGGCACTAGGTAAGGTCCAACAGATCTGAGCAGGGTTTCGGAAGCAGTGCGTCTGAGTGGGACGGTTGTTCCGGGCAGCTGCTGGCTGCGCCCAAGCTCCAACACCCGTGCGCCCCCCCCCCCCCCCCCCC